GTCAGCCCGCCCCCTACTCTGTGCCAGCCCAGGGGAAGGGGCACCCAGAGGCATGTAGACCATCCTGGCATGGCTAGGAAAGGAAGGTGCCCCTTTCTCCCCCTGTGCCCAGGTGGCAGCCTCCCTCCCTCTTCCCTCCGCCCCCCCTACTCACCCCGCTTACCTGCTCCATGCCTGCCCTGGGGAAGGGGCACCCCAAGGCATGTAGACCACCCTGCTTGGCTAGGAAAGGAGCGTGGCCCTTTATCCCCCTGTGCCCAGCTGGCAGCCTCCCTCCCTCCTTCCCTCTCTCCCCCCTGCATGAGCCAGACCCCAACTCCCCCCCCTTCCAGCTTCTTTAGCCCCCTAAGTGGCCTGGCCATCAGCTGGACTCCTGTCTCTGGCCAGCCTTGTCCAGGGTGTGGTGGTGGGGGGGTGTCACCCCAAAGCTATCTCTGCTGCCATGGATCTGGGGAGCCTCTCAACCGCCCCTTCCAAGCATGTGGGGCATGTGGGCCCAGCCAGGTTGGGGACCCCCGAGAGAGGCAAGCAGGCAGAGGGGGGGCACCGCAGCTAGAACCAGTCAGCAAACAGCTTTATTTCATTTCCTAGAGGGGGTCGGTGGGTGGGGGGGGTGTCAGAAGCCAGGGAGGGGTGCCCCCCTCCCCCTGTTCACGCATCCAGGCTCATCAGCAGAGCGGTGCCCCGCTTGATCCAGTGGTCGGGCGGCATGGCTCCGGAGCGCAGGTCCACGCCGATGACGAAGGAGGGGCGCCCGGAGGAGCCCGCCCGGTTGGGGTAGTAGTAGCAAGGGCAGGAGTAGATGCCTGGAAGGGAGGGGGGAAGAGAGTGAGAGAGAGAGAGAGAGAGAGAGAGAGAGAGAGAGAGAGAGGAGGGTCCCCACAGGTCAGGCTCACGGGGAGGGGGCTGGGGCACTGCCCCCCAGGCCCCGGAGACCCCCGGAGACCCCCACCCACACCCACCTTTGCTGCTCTTCTTCTTATTCTCCACAGGCTTGAAGTGGATAGTAGGGATGGGGCAGACCAACTGCATGGGCTCGGCCTCCACCAGGCAGGAGTTCTTCTTGTCCCAGCCGGCCCCCTCCAGGAAGAGGCCCCGGATCCAGACCCCCTCCTGCATGTGGGGAGGGGGAGAGGAGGAGAAGGGGAAGGCAAAGGGTGAAGCCGACTTCTGCCTTGGGGGAGGGAAAGAGAAAGGGGCACTTCCCTGGAGGGGAGGGGGCTTCAGGGGAGGGGGCTTCCCTTGGGAGAAAGAGAGAGGTCTGCTCATTGGGGTGGGGGGGAGAGGAGGGGGCGTTCACCTGGGTGGGAGGG